CATTCTGGATTCCATAATAGGCGTGTCGACAGGGTAAAAAAATCAAAAAAGTAATTAGTCCGTCATTAAGATCGCACGAAAATATCAGACACGTATTTTTTGTTTTATCAAATTAACAGAAGAATACGTAGTTATTCCGCATTAAAATTAGGGAGTGAATTACCTAAGTGATTGAGAATTACCTAAGTGTGACGTCACGCGTCATTTTAACTCAAAATATCTACATGTTTTTTTGGATACGAGAAAAAAGAAAAAATACGTATCGAAGATTTTTAAAATATCTAAAAGACGGACAAAAAATTAAAAAATAGTCGCCATGCCTATTATTATAAGTAGAATTAATCAGACAAATACTCAATTAGTCATTAATCGAAGGTAAAGTCGTGTGACATAACTCGTCTGCTAATCCGTACGTAACCTTCCTCGCGGCCGCAGCCGGGTGAGAGGCAATGTATTCCTTCATCACGGTTTAAATCTCAATAACTTTCTCAAGTCAAGGCGGCAACCTTGGCAGGCACGCCACTGTTTCCGTAATTGGATATCGACCACTAACTGGATTAGCCTTGCTGCGTGCACCCGCGGCCCGATGTAATCTAATAACATCCATAACTACACACATTTCCTTATATCCTTCAATATTTTGCTTGATTTAAGCTGATGGCTTGTCTCCATGATCAAGCGGTTACAAGCGCAACTGCTAAGTGGATGTAGTTAATATGTCGATTGGTTGCTCTACAGTATAGTCTCTTTCATTGCTACCGTGAACTCCTAATTTGTAATATATAGGTATACTTGTGTCTATCCCTTTGTAGAAACGTTTTACGTGTTTCACAAAACTGCATTAATTATTTCATGCTACCGATTAAAAGTCTTTTTTCCGTACAAACAAAATATTCACATCTATCTTTGCATTTTATTTATTTAGAAAAGAAATGTTAAATGTTCCCGATCTAAAAGTTTATTCAATTCCTCGCCGCAGGTACGCGCCGGTAGTTCAGTTTAGTTGCGACACTGAAACTTTTTCAGTTACTTACAACCTGAATTTTTAAAGCTCATAAAATCGGTCGTGAATTCTTTGGCTACGCCGTAGGGTGCTACGCCGTCAGGTGCTACGAGCTACGCAATCTCGTAACTTGCGTTGCAAAGTGGTTTCGTAAATCATTTGCACATTTTTGTTGCTTCTGTGTTTTATTAACTATTGATTCGAAATATATATGTCTGGGAAGTCAGAAGTGAAGAGTTGTAACACTATTACGACATTGTTATGGGAACGTTGACATAACAAAATTTGCTAATGTGTAACAAGTGTGTAACCTTTTAAGTAAAAGTTAAGGTCGTTGCTCTAAAACCGAATGTGTATCGATATAAATCAATTTAAACCTGTTATGAGGTTGTGTACCCCGCACGCAGCAGTTTCTCCAAGTGCCAAGTTATCGGCAACTTGCCAAGTCTGACCACTTAAGTAACAAGTTGATGCAATTTAAAACTTGGCCACTTCAAAGCTTTGGTGCAATGGCCGAGATGTATTTAAAGAGAACATTTATTGAATATTTCCAACTAGATACAAGTACAAACTTGTCTTCAGAAACTGTTCTTCAGTTTTTTTTGGTTTTAAACTTTTGTTGTGTTTAGTGTACATTGTACATTTTTAGTGTTTTGAGTTATATATATTAACTCGTCGAGTACCGGTTTTGTAGACACAATTATAGAACAATAGGTTGCGGTCACCGGTGACCGCTTGGTGTTTGACAGTTTAATGCAATTGAGGACGTCTCATTTGGTATGATAAAACTCTAAACTGGTAAAAACGTTATAGTATACCTTATTTCGTACACATTAAGTTGGCAAATGATAATTTATACTCGTAATATAATAGGGGTACTGTTCTAACCAACACCTCGGTCACCGCACCCTTTTATTGAAATACAAATGTCCTTGTGTATATGATTGGCTTAGTACTTACAGTGTGTTTATAGATGGCGATACGTGATTACTTATTTCTTTTGTATTCAATTTCATGTCATTATAGGTGTCAATATCTCGCTGTATGTGTTGAATGTGTGTATTGTATGACGTGTGACGTTTCAATAATAATATTCAATGAGGATTTTAAAACTTTAAAGCTATGTTTAATCGATTGTGTGCACTTATACATAAGTGTGGCCATTAAGCACATATTTCTTGAACCTACATCAATACTGCTGAGTATACTGCATATACCTGCAAAAATAAAAAATCGTATATTGATATTTTCTCATTAAAATGAGTTTTTATTTTTCTTCTGTTTATAAAAAAATATATTAGTAAAACGTGTAATATTTTGTGTTTTACGACGTAAAAACAATATGTCGGAAGCTATTCGTATGCTAATACAGTGTGATTTATCTAGAAGGATGGCACGTTGGCATCCATGTCACGTCGAGTATGTCACGCCTCGTGCTCTTACGGGATGAACCTCGTCGGCATAAAACATTAGTTGCAGCCTTATACATAATTTAATACCATAATAAACTATGGCTCACTGCTCTCAAGGACTCTTCCAGGACATTTTTAGCTGTCACAGAAATTCAAGGACCTGTATTATAACTGAGACACAAAAAAACCAGGTTTATGTCCAAAGTCCAAGTCAAAGCATTTATGTCACTTATTCCTTAGGCACTATAAATTACAAAATTGAATTATTCGTCCGTCTGTTTATCAGTGAAGCTTGTAAGTACCTGTACTTTATTGGACCTCGGAAATGAACTCATGTTGTTAGGCTTCATATGAACTTATTTTAACTCATCATTATCATCATCAGTCCAGCCAGTTCTCATCCACTGCTAGACATATTATACATATAAAGACATATTATATTTTTATTTTTAAGTAACAATTTCAAATTATAAGCAGATAGTTTCTACGGTTGAATAAATTGACATAACGTTTTATACGTCCTGCTTTAAAATCGAGTTCAATATTTCGATGTTTAGCTAAACATACAAAAATCAATATTTGTAAATAAAATTGTATATCGTAACATTTTATAGCAATAGTTTACGATGTTGTTAGTGGTTTCAAATTTAATGTGAATGCGGTGTATGCTATTTATTTAATGAGTAAATCTTGTAAATAACGTTTACTACTATAACATATCTGCCCACTTCAGCTATGCATATATACAGGTCCGTGCATACATATAAAACCTCAGCCCTATCTCCCATATCTCCCATAGGCGTAGGTAAAGACTATGGAACGCCAATCGCTTTAATTATTACATACTTCTTTCGCTTCCTCGACAGTATTTTCACGCACATTTATCAGAAGAGAACCAGCCTTAGCCTTAGCAGCCTTAGCAGCGTCTATAGCATAAACAGACACACATTACTTAAATCTACTTAGATTACTATGACATAGAACACAAACAAACAACAATATAATATTATTATGTACAATATATCCATCATCGTTATGTATCTAGTCCTTATGTAAAGCACATCGTCAATATTATTATAGATGCTTCTGCCGAGTCCTTTTGTATGCATCGAAGTATCGCGAGGAAGCATCCAATTTGCATCCATTTCCATACGATGTTCACTTATTATTATAACAAGGTTCTTTTATTAAAACTGCGTCGTATTTTTTAACTCACATAGGAAATGTGAACACAAATTATACACTGCTTTCTGTATTGGAATAATTTTAATGAAGACATACTTAAAGTTGGTTCTTTATGTATGAAAAAGCTTTTGTAACAAGACAAGCCCGCCACAACTTTGCAAAACCGCTGCAACTCCTGTAAGCCAGGATCTACAGTAGATACAACCATGAAAACACCGGAACACTGAAGTCCGACGCGACCCAGGGACACGAATAACTGTCTTGGTTCCCGCAACGAAATGAATCAGATGATATAAGAGAAGAAAAAACGATAGTATCCATAAAAAACCTTTGCTGATATCTTAACTGTGACATTTTACTTTTAAAAGTCCTTTACGGTCACCTTGACATCAGCTTGACTATTAATTTCAAAAACTTCATCGTCATTCATCACTGGGACAAAAACACTGAATCACTGATGCTAATGAATGATCTCATACATTGAATCTATGAGGCGTGAACAAACAAACAAAACACTTACTAGTATGCATACAGCACAGGGAGTCAAGGACACATTATATTTGTTGCAGTTGATTCATATTCTGCATGTATCTCCGTATTAATATTAATGATCATATGACCTCATAAATTATACACTTTATACATTATTACAAGGTCATAGGGTGCAGAATGCCTAAACCCGAACCTCAGAATACTAATCAACCTTATCAAATGTTTATGACCTACGAGAGAGCTATTAATCTCCGAACTTTAAAAGGATGTAACGTTTTATAGGGCTGTAACACTAATGGAATATTTATAAGCAGTAAAGGCGTCTTATGGTGGTCACCTAAACTGTTCATAGGGATTTATTAGGGCATGTTTTATCTGAAAAAATATGATTACCAAAAAATAATCGAGGCCTCCAAAAAATTAATCAATGTAGGATCTATATCGTGTAACCGATACCCAGTACTGCGTACTTAGCTAATGGATCATCCATCAATGTCTGTTATAACATCAAGAAAGAAGAATACACCGACTGCCACGAGGCTCACCAGCTGTTACTCGCTGACGCCATTATCAATCCTTTTTAACGAAAAAATATTGATCACAGCGCTTTCTTTGTCACGCAATAAGGCTCAAGCCATATCATCCATGACTTGCCTATTTTAAGTATGCATCTAGCAAAAATATGCTGAATAAATATTTTAAACTTTAAAAAGCAAGGGCGGTGTATGGCTACGTTTATGGCGCTACGCCGTCGTAGCCTTTCGTAGTCGTTCGTAGCCGTAGCGCTACGAATGTCCTCTTTTATCATTATACTCTATCTCTTTAGAAAGTTACTGTTATAGTATGTAGCGTTAATATTTACATTTAAAGATTTGTAGATACTGAAAGTTGAATTGTTTGTGTTACAGGTAGTGTTGGTGTTCATCCTGAGTATAGCATCGCTCATCATCTACTTCATTGACGCGTCCAGGTAACACACGTTCCAAATATCCTTCGAATAAAATGCATCGCTAACAATATTAATGACTTACTAATCTTGATAATGCTGAATTCAAGGAATACGTGAGTCAATAAACTCATAATAAATGTGGTCGAAACTGTTTGCTGAATAGAGTCCTATATGTAGCTTAATGTTTATTTGTCAGCTGTGATATATTAGAGAAATAGCTTCAAGTGAACCTGTTCCTAACTGTTGTCGTGGTTAGTGAGTGTGCATGTGCTATATACCGACTGTTTGATTTCAGTGAAGAGGTTGAGCGATGTCAGAAATGGAGCGACAATATTACTCAGCAAATCGACCTTGCCTTTAACATATTTTTTATGGTCTACTTTTTTATACGAGTAAGTTGACTTTCTTATTTTCAATCTGTTTTTATGATTCAGTTTTTTTATATTTGTTTTTGTTATGAATATAATTATGCACACATTGCAATTTGCAATACATGCATGTGATGGCCAAATTATAACGATGCCTTTGTCACATCGTGCCAATAACATCTTTTTGTGACGAAGATTACGAATTCTTTATTTTTTTTTTTCAAATATGAATCAAAATTTGGTTGAACCGAAGATCAAGAGTCAATTATGTGATTCATATCAAGAAAACTAGGATATTTTTCACCATGTAAGCATTTTTGTGTAACATCAAGAAAGAAAATCGTCGCTTAAAACTGTATCTGAAGAAACTGAAGACGTCTTATACACGTTGACGGGTGGACGCCATTACCCATCCTCTTTACGTATCCACCATAAAAGAATGGGTAACGGCGCCTTCTTTGTCACAATCATCGAGTGCAACATTAGCAACCTCGCCATTATTCAAGACGTATTTATACTCTAAGCTTTCGTAGAGTGAGGTGCCACGAAACACGGCGGCCGATAGTCCGTTGATCCGAACGGCTTTCATCTATCGGTCCGCTAGTGCCTTATTCGTCTCACCTTAAGGGAATTGTTGCTTTATATTGAACTTCTTCAAGGCCGCATTTAGTTGCTCCAATAATATGACGATCTAAATGCGCCCTTTTTTATTTAATGTTTCTCTTATCTTCTATGTGTGTTATATATGAAAGTGATAGTGATATATAGAAAATGTATACCGTGTGTTTATTTCTGTTTCAGTTTATAGCAGCTAGTGACAAACTATGGTTCATGCTCGAGATGTATTCATTTGTAGATTATTTCACGATACCCCCATCCTTTGTATCAATATACCTCGATAGAACGTGGATAGGTGAGTTATCAATATGTTTTTAATTTATTACTTACTATATCACATTAATGTATTTGATTGTTTGATTTACGTATAAATAGTACTATTGCTTTTCAACAATTCTAACTTGTCCAATTATCCTTTAATTCTTAGAAGTACAGTTAACACGTACTTAAATATACCATCAAATGTTTGTCAGTTATCTCTTTTAGCTTATGTAATAGGATGCGAGTATAGCCATATATTAATAATGTCATGATAATTATCAAAATTCAAATATTATTGATTCAAACAAAATTTGTATATTTTTTAATACTAATCTACTGTCTATATATTTAATTGTAAGACCTATTTAACGTATGTTTCTCTCTGTTCCAGGGCTGAGATTTCTCAGAGCTCTACGCTTAATGACCGTGCCTGATATTTTGCAATACCTCAATATATTAAAAACATCGAGCTCAATTCGGTTGGCGCAATTAGTTTCTATATTTATATCAGTGTGGCTGACCGCTGCCGGCATTATTCATTTGGTAAGTGTTCAACGTAAAACATATTGCTCTCTAGTTTTGTTAGTACACAGTTACACCGACGGGTCTTAAGATCATATTACTTAAAACTGAGAATAACGAAACCTGCAAACAGCAAACGTCGGGTGAAATCCCTGAATTGCATAAAATACAGTTGAATTGTTTGGTTCAACAATAATTACCACTGAAATGTTCTCAAGTTGTACAAAAAATAACCTAGTATGGTGGTCTGCTATGACTCATAAAACTGATTATAATTGTACTATGTAAATGGTTTGAAAGACATTTGGTAATTTATGCATTTATGGTGTTTCAGCTGGAAAACTCTGGTGACCCATTAGAGTTCGAGAATGCCCAGAAACTATCGTACTGGACGTGTGTGTACTTCCTGATAGTCACCATGTCCACTGTAGGTTACGGTGACGTATTCTGTCACACAGTACTTGGAAGAACATTTTTGGTTTTTTTTCTCCTCGTTGGCTTGGTAAGTTTTTTTTTCATCTGTTTTTCTTCTGAATCTCTTTGAATTAAATTTTTTTTTATTTAAATTAAATTTAAAGTCAAAATATTTGAAAGATATTTTTGCAAGGGGACGCAAGTCTCTTAATAACTTTGTTTGTAGTAGCATCTGGAACACAACATTTGTTAATTTTCAAGTAATAAAGTAGTTTCATACTTCCTTACTTACGGCTACTGAGTCGTTACGACAAGCTTGCGGTTCCTTGTATGATGCTAAAATAATAACAAAGCAAAAGGAAACATAACAAACATTTGCAGTGTAACGGTTACAATATAGTTGACATGGGACTTGCTAGACAAGTGGTTTATCGCACAGCTCGTTGAATGATTGTAAGCCTGAGTAGTGCACCACGAGTAGACGCATGATAGGATGAGGCTCGCGAGACGCCGAGCGGCCCCGCCCGGGCGGACTCCTCACCGCCACATGTGCATCTTCTAACTTCCCGGCTTCGAAGGACTATCTTTCGACTGTCGCCGACTACTCAATTTTAATACGCTTTTCTTCGAGCGGCTGCATGGGTGTATTTTGTTTTTTCTTTTGCTTTGTTACGTGTTAGTACCGCGAACGTGCCGCCGGAGGATCTGTCTCGCCGCGCTTAGAGTACGGAGTGTACTGGGGACTGGTCCGAACGAGATACGTAGCGCTAGGCGAGCGCGCGCGTGTCTGTCAGTCGCGCTATAGTGTCAGTGTGGCGCCCGCCGCCTCGGCGACCCGGTGCCGCGTCCCACCCCTCCCACCTCGCGATGCATGCCGCACCACGCCTGGCTGTGTTCAGTTGCTCACATCACCGGTAGACACACACTACTTCCTTTTATTTTTATTTCGCTCCGCTACCGGCTACACTTTACGACTCAGCGTCACCATAGAGAGTATACCGATCTCAGTGTGGACATTGTCGTGCACCACTCGATGGTGTCCGCGTGCGATGCGGACCTCATGTGCGAACGACACCGTGGTCTGTTGCAGGCAATGTTCGCTAGTAGCATTCCCGAAATTATAGAGCTGGTAGGAAGTAGGTCCAAGTACAGTGGCGAGCTGAAGCGTGAACATGGAAAGAGGTATCCGTTTGATAATATAAAGTGATCGTCGAAAGCCCGGGCGCTTCATCCCGTGCCACGCTCGGGAAGAACCGGCCGAGCTCTCGGCGAGCACGTGGAATCATCACCTATCAGAAAGCTTGCTCAGTGCCGTCAGATGTATTGTGTCATCTACTCGCGTGCACGCGCGGGTCCAGGCGGCGGGCGGCGGGCGGCGCCTCGCTCGGCACCACGCACGCGTGTCGCCGCGGCGAGCGCAGCCGCGCGGCCCGTCGGCTCGGCCAGCCCGTGTTCGCGTCTACCAAGCGTCTATACCGAATGCCCACGTTTTTAGTTTAGGTACCGGTCGAACCGATTTCTTTTTAAGTTCTGTTCATCGATTAGTTAGCGTATGTATCCTTAGGCTTTGCATGCACCCGGTCACGAGTCCCGTCACGGCTCCCGCCGCTAGCGTAGCTCGGCACGGCACCCAAGTCCCGCACACCCACACACAGCCACAGCCACACGCAGACAGACGACACTCATCGCACACAGCCTCGTGCGCGAGGGTTCGCGGGCCGGGCGGGCGGGGCGGGGCGGGGCGGGCGCGCGGGGGCGGGCC